CTCATTGTGCTAATTCACTTTCTGAGAGAGTTTATTATTTTAACCATATTTTTAAGTTTTTAAAAATGAAAATGCAATATACAGGGTCCGGAAATAGCGCGTCGGGCATCTGTAGCTCCTAGAATAAAAAACTTGAGAATTTTGTTTAAGTGCAAACCTAAAGTACGTACCTGGATGTATTAAAGGAAAATATTTTAACTTCTATAGGGTGGCTAAAAAAAGTGTGAGTACCTATATCCTATATAGATAATTTTTTTTAAATGTAACACCCTGTATATTATTGCATTTTTGGCTTCCTTTCAGATCACTTTACATAATCCTAAGATATGAGTAAATAGTTTTCGATAGTTTCAGAGATATTAATATATAAATAAAAAATATATATTTTTCAACGTTCCTTAAAATGGTGATGATAAAGCAAAGCAAGAATTTCCATTCACATACAAACTGGATAAAATTTTCTCACATTTATGTCAGCATGAGAAAAAAACAATATGGCGATATTATTATAAAACTTGGTAATATTTGAGGGGTAGTTTCATCTCGTTGGAATTTGAATTTCGAAAAATCCGGTTGCCAAAAATAAGTTTTTTACATCAAGCAGTTTAAGCAGAATCGTGGTTAAGAAATTACCCAACTTTTTGGAACACCCTGTATGATTTTCAAAAAATTTCAAAATATGCAGAAAAAACAAATAAATTATGCTTGTCCAAGCGTTTTCCCGAAAGACTAACCGTTTTTTAAATAACAAATATTGTAAATATTTGCGGGGTGTTTTCACCCTCTTGGAATTTGAGATTCGAGAAACCCCTCCTTATCGAACCTCTACACCCCACAGTCAATCCGTTTGCCAAAAATCAGCTTTAAACGTCAAGCAATTTAAGCAGAATCGTGATTACTCAATGGTCATATTTTATGAAACACCTTGTATAAATTTATAAAAAAATCTTAAAATATGTAAAACAACAAAATAAAATATACGTGTTTAAGAGTTTTTCTGAAAAACTCACCGGTTTTTAAATAAAAAATATTTTAATATTTGAGGGATAGTTTCACCCTCTTATTATTCGAGTCTCGAAAAATCCCTTCTTATCGAACCTCCACACCCTAAAGTCAATCTGTTTTCCAAAAATCAGCTTTTTACGTCGAGCGCTTTAAGCAGGATCGTGATTAATCAATGACCAGATTTTTCAAAACACCCCGTATACATTTTTAAAAAATCTTAAAATATGTAAAAAAGCAAAATAAGATATACGTGTTTAAGCGTTTTTTCGGAAACTTGACCGTTTTTTAAATAAAAAATATTGTAATATTTGAGGGGTGGTTTTAACCTCTTGGAACTGGAATTTCGAAAAATCCCTTCTTATCGAACCTTGAGCGAAAACTGAGCTTCTAACGTTGAGTGGTTTGAGCAGGATCGTGATTAATCAGTACGTCAGTCACTTAAGGATTTTATACATTAGTATAGATTTACTTTAGCTGGTCTGTTGTTGTCTTACCTTGCTATAAATATGGTAATCGTCAATCATACAGGATGTTGTCAATATTCTACGCCAAACTTTCTAAAATATAAAATATTTTTTCTTTGTTTTTTTAAAGGGTACACCTTGTATATTATTTCTTTAATAGATGGAGAGTTAAAAAATGATTTATTTTTGTATTTAAAGTGTTTCAAAATGTTTAATAGTTTTGCAGATACACGCAGTATTATTTCATAGGGCGCTTTCAATGGTAAAATACACGAGAAAATTCATTAGGTGGCTTTGATAAAAATTTACTGTGGAAAATACCATATGAAATATAAAACCGCGAATATCTGCGAAACAGTTAAAAATTTTGAAATACTCTAAATACAAAAAATGTTCATTTTTTAATTCTCCATCTATTGAAAAAAAAAAATATATACAGGGTGTTCCGTTTAAAAAAACGAAGAAAAATTATTTTATATTGTAGAAAGTTTGGCGTAGAATTTTAAGCATCCTGTAGGATTTACGATTTCCACATATGTAGCAACGTTAAATACAGACCATCAGTAAATTACTAATATAGTTTTGATTTCAGGACAGTTCTTGTATTATTAATAATTTTTTAAAAAGGCTGAAAAGTATATAATTATTATTTATTTATTATAGATCAGATATCTCTGAAATTATCGAAATGTATTTACTCATGTCTTAGGATTATGTAAAGTGATCTAAAAGAAAGCCAAAAATGCAATAATATATTGGGTGTTTTTTTATTGTTATTTTTCAATTAAAAAAATCATCCAGATCCACTAACACTTTTATAAGCCATCCTATAGAAGTTAGAGAAGTTGGATTAAAATCTTTAAGGCATATATTTAAAAATATCTTTTTTTTGTTCTAGGTATGTACGACCAACACAACTAGTTGATTTTCAATGGGTAAGTTTTTCATTAGATGAATTAGAAGTTTTTCCAAGAACTACAGCATTCGGTAAGTTAACCTTTATTTGCTGTTAATATACTCTCAACTTCTTGATTTCCACCTTGAAGAGAAGGTGTTTGTAAGAGATTTTTAAGGGAGCCACAAAACATTCATGATTTAAAGGAGGACGCAACCAGGGGCGGGCATATGGGTTATCACTGGAATATTTTTCTAAAAAAAGCATGTACGCCACTGACTTTTTTTTCTTGTTAGCGAAATAGTTATAAACAGTTTAATGCCGATTAAAAGTTGTCTTTTGATATTTTCGATTTTGGCTTCCTTGATGAGACAAACGCAATTTTATTAATTTGCCTTGATCAAAGTCTAATATAGTCTGTCCAACGAGAAGATCCTTGACAGTGATAGATGTGTCTGTCATTTTAATTTCAAAGTAGTTTATTTTATTTTACAAAGAAATAAGTTGGTACAACTGGAACGCATAGCAGGATATATTTAAAATTTGATTGACAAGATGACAAGTGATTACTTCAAAATATTATGAAAAAAACTGTATAAAACTGAAAAAATGTAATTGAGTTATTTTATTTAATAAAAACGGTATGTGTTAATACAAAACAAACAAGAACAAGACACTACATACCAAAAAAATATAAAAAAGAACTATTATTTACTTTCAAGCTTTTTATGAAACTACCCGCATTTATGATTATATTTATCAATATAACTTATGTACAAATACAAATTTGTAATATTCCACAGGAATAAATAAAACAACATAGGTAAATAAAACAAACTATTTTATTAATAATAACACCTACCAAATTTTATACCATAAAGGTTGATTAATTAACTTTAATCTTAATTTTTTTAAACCAGTTACCTTTTGACATTATTTTTCTGCAGTACTAAAATCCATTATTTACCTATCGTGTGATGTCGATATTTTACAGCTACTCCAGTTTTTAGTATGTGTTTAGTATGGTCCTTCTTTTTCATTGGTGTATAAGACTTGGGCAGCCTGCCCATCTCTGCCCACTTGACTTCAAAAGACACAAAACACACGTAATAATACGAATCAAAATGCATCATCTTCCAAAACGCAGGATATTTAACAAAAGTTGACACAAAATTATAACCTATAATTTGGCAAGACTTTGACAAGCGTCAAAAATGACAAAAATCTAAAGGCGAGTTCATACGCATCGGCGTTCGTTTGTCGTTCATCGTTCCGTCAAACCAATAAAATTGAAATACGATCTGTCATTTTTTAAATAAACCAATAAAACTGGTTAAAAACAACAAGACACGACGCATGACGGATTTATATTTAAACCCATCCATAGATAACTTAAAAATTATTAGAAACTTTTTTTAGTAAAATAAATAGATTGGTATGGGAGGTTATCTGCTTTTCTTCTGTCATCGTCTGTCGAAATCTTACCTGAGAAAAAAAAACAGAGTATAGCAACCTTTAAAAAAATAATATCATTAACTTGCGAAAGTTTTAAACAAGATTCCTCATCAAAATATATGAAAAAAGTTCATATAAACATGGGTATGCAAAAGTATGGTTTTAGAGTTACAGGATGTTAAAACTTATTGAAATTAAGTTTTTTGCTCGATTTTTTGTAATTATTTTAAATACCATTATTTTTTATTTGAAATTGCTGTAGGTTGAATTAATAGTAATAATATTTAATAATAAATTGGATAATACAGTTTCTTCTAACGGCCTTTAAAAACTCGTTTAGCCCTCTTTACTTTGTAACTCAAAAGGGGGATCAGTAAAAGGCGAAAGGTAAAATACACCTCCCAGTGAGGCGGTATGTTAATTCGTCCCTCCGGGTGGCTTTATCGTCGACTTTATCCTTGGGAGGACTTAGAGCGGCTCTAAGATAGTTCGGAGAAAATATCTTTCTCTTTTTTATTGGAGCAAGTTATGACGGGAAACACTTTACTTGCGGAAGTTTTTATAGATGTTTCGGTGTTAGAAGGGTAAGGTGTTTGGATCTTTTGTATAATAATTCGCCACAATCTTTCGCTTACATTTTTTGGACTTTTTTTGTTGTCGTGTAGTATTACTGTATCATCATCATCGACTCAAAATATGCTAAAAACACTTAAACGGACGTCAGATCAAATTGGACTACGCATAAATTATTCAAAAACCAAACTAATGACTAACCTTGTTATTAGTGGAAATGTCTCGGTAGACGGAGCAAATATAGAACAAGTATATTCATATAAATATCTGGGGCACGAAATAACAATTGGCCGCGATAACCAGACGCACGAGATACAAAGAAGAGTAGGACTAACATGGGCAGCATTCGGCAAACTAAGATATGTGTTAAAATCAGATCTACCAATGTGCTTAAAGAGGAAGGTGTTCCATCAGTGCGTTATGCCAGTACTTACATATGGCGCAGAGACACTTACACTGACGAAAAAGTCCATAGAAAAAATCCGTGTAGCCCAACGAGCTATGGAAAGAGCAATGCTTGGTGTATCTCTAAGAGACAAGATTCCCAGTACAGTTATAAAACAGCGTACACGAATAACAGATGCTATATATCTGCTTAAAAAACTCAAATGGGACTGGGCTGGGCATATTGCCAGAAGAACGATAGATGGACCAAGCTAATACTAGAATGGCGGCCAAGACAAGATGCTCTCAGAAACAGAGGCAGACCTCCGACAAGATGGTCAGATGACTTGAAGAGATTTAGGGGAGACTGGACCCAAGTGGCACAGGACCGAGAAGAGTGGAAGGATTTGAGGGAGGCCTACGTCCAGCAGTGGACACTTCAGGTTGGTTGATGATGATGATGATGATGAATTATGGCGTAGCCTCCCCCACATATTTAGACACTCTCTTTGTAGTTGGGCCCATCGGTTGTCTATTAATCTATTACCTGGGTTTTTTGTCGTATCCACTCTATTATTTTACGGTCTCTCTTGGTTATACCTAGCATATTTCTTTCCAATGAGCGTTTGCAACCTGCAGTTTCCTTATATGATGTCCGTTTTAAGTGTCCAGGTTTCGCATGCATAGGTCATTACTGGTATAACACATTGGTCGGTTTATCATTTAGATAGAGTGGCATTCTTGATTTGAATATGATTGAGTTTCTTCCATAAGTACTCCATGTTAACTTAATTCTTCTGTTGATTTCTGGTAGTAGAGATCCCGAGCTGTGTATTAGTTGTCCCAAATATATACATTCTTCTATTATTTCCAGTGTTGTATTATTTATTAGAATGCCTTTTCTTTCTACTAGTTCGCTAGTTCGTTGTACATTACTTTAGTTTTTGCTAAATTCATTTTGAGACCCACTTTGTTGCTGGCTGTATTTAGTTAATTAATTCGTGCTTGTAGTTCTTCAGGATACTATGTCGTCAGCGAATCTTAGATGATTAAGATATTCTTCGTCTATTTTTAACTCTTTGTTGGTCCAGTCCAGTTGACGGAAGATTTCTTCTAGTGTTGCTGTAAACAGCTTTGGGGATATAGCTGTAATGAAGTTCATAAAATTTCTAGGACACCCTGTATATTGTGTTAATATTATACTAGAATAATAGAGACTTCATTCTCTTTTAATAATGACAGTCAATGTATTTTATTGTTAACTCATTATTGTAATAACTTCATTAGTGTTCCTATTGTTGAATTAAATAAGTTAAATATTTAATTGCCATTTTGTAAGAGAGTTTTGATCGGTTTTGGTCGCTATAGTTTAATGCGAAAAACCGAACCGTTTGCGCCGCTCGCCCTACTCTGCTAGTGCAGGCCGAGTGGAGGGGAGCGTCAGTCGAGTACCTTGGCTGCAGCAGCTCCAGTTAGTTAGATTCACAGAACACACTAAAGAAGAACGCTGACTCCCATGCATTTTTTAGTTTCAAAACGGTTTCAAATTTGTAAAGAAATCTGTAATCTGTATATTGAAGTGGCGCCATCTAGCCACCCAGGAAAGTAACAAATGTGGCGGCAAATTTAAATAGATGCAATTTATTTTTAAGCAAGACGTATGACTTGTTCGCCAGTTAGAGCCAATCAGATTTCTACAAAATAATGTGTAGTCATCTGATTGGTCCCAAGTTGGCAAACAAGTCAAATGGTAAAAAACAAGGATTTATATATAAAGGTTAAACCAGGTTAAACTATTGTAAAGTGTTAAATGGTTTGCTTATATCATTAATATATGTGCATAAAAACCTACAATAAATAATTTATTTTAATTTACAGAAAATTATACCATAAAACATTTTACAAACAAATAAAACAACAGATTAAAAAGTATAATATTTATTATAGTACCAGATTTAAGAACACAACAAATATCGTTGGAATACAAGAGAAAGTGACGTCCATTAGAAACAATGTTTTATTTACGTGTATTTTTTACATTGGACTTGAACAATTGTGTAATATCACATTGTGGAGTTTATGTACAAAAATATGGAGTTGATCAATTTTTTTTGTAAAATATATGGCGTTGTAAATATTACATTGTTAAAAAATAAAATTCACGAACATTTGGACTTGGTTAGGTTACCTCGCCTCACTTTCTCGGATTATTAAATAAAATTGTTAGATAAATCAAAGACCTTTAACTTAAACCTTACCTTTAATAAAGATCTTAAAAATCAAACACAAAACAAAGTTCAAAAAAATTCAAAAATACAAAATCACGATTGCAAAATGAAGATTGCAAAAAACACAGCCAAACAACCAGAAAACAACGAAACGCACATCTCCGTTCAATTGCAAAACACAACTGAAGAGGAAGGAGGAAGCCGGAAACGGAAAACTGATTTGACATACAGAACAATGACAGAACATAATTAATAGGCCTCTTTAGGCAACTATAAAAACAATTTTGTACGCAATTGTTAGGCAACTAGAAAAATTAAAATAAAAATACGCCATCTAGCGCCCCAGGAAATTACTACCCCAAAAAAAGATCGTTCAAGGTCGTATATCTCAGTTGACTGGCCCTGGTTAGATTGTGGTGGCACGTGAAACAGTGAGGTTCGAGTCCGGAGTGCCCTGCCAAGTGTCCTGCTGCCAGCCGCCTGTCGCCGCACTGTATCCACCAACGTGATCGAGAGTAGGTCGTATTCTTTTTATTGTTAATGACGTTTACTTTACTGCCTTAACGCGTTACAGGAATAAGGGAGACAGAGATATTTATATTCGCTCAGGTAGGCCCAACTGTGTCCTCTACGGAGGTTGGGGGCTATTTGATCGGATCACGTGGACGCGAGGAACGATTTCTTTTGTTAAAAGGGAGAGAGTGAGACAGCTAACGGTTAAGGTAGTACAGGAAACGCACGGGTCGCGAATGTTCACGGAGCTAAAACAAGACCTCGCCCAAATCCCGAGGCGGGTTTTGTAGCTCCCGTATTTTCTGGGTGTGTCGTCCGGACGGCACCCTGCATCAGTGACGCTGGACGGGATCTCGCCGAAATCCCGAGGTTGTCCTGACCGGGCGGTGTGTGTGCGGGCTGCGCTTATCCAAACGACGTACAACTCGCCGAGACGTCGCTAACGTCTACGTCACGGGACGCTGCTAACTTCGCGATCGATCCAGGGTTGGAGTTTGTGTATCCCACGGGACGCTGTTAGTTTCGCGATCGATCCAGGACTCGCGTTTGTGTATCGCACGGGACGCTGTTAGTTTCGCGATCGATCCAGGACTCGCGTGTGTGTATCCCACGGGACACTGTTAGTTTCGCGATCGATCCAGGACTCGCGTTTGTGTATCCCACGGGACGCTGTTAGTTTCGCGATCGATCCAGGACTCGCGTTTGTGTATCCCACGGGACACTGTTAATTTCGCGATCGTCCAGGGCTCGCGTTTGTGTCCCACAGGAATCCGTTAACTTCGCGATCGATCCAGGACTCGCGTTTGTGTATCCCACGGGACACTGTTAATTTCGCGATCGATCCAGGGTTCGCGTTTGTGTCCCACAGGAAGCCGTTAACTTCGCGATCGATCCAGGACTCGCGTTTGTGTATCACGGGACACTTTTAACTTCGACGCCGATCCGAGGTCCGGGTTTCGCTGTCAAAATGGACGCCGTTCCGAGAAATATTTAGCTGTGACCACCGGGACGCCTGTAACGTCGTCGCCGCCGTTTAGAGAGTCGCGTCATAGTAGAGTGTGTTGCTCCGGTACTTACGTGTCTGTGTTTTTTAGGACGCCGCTAAATTCGACATCGATCAGGAACTCGCGTCGTCTTATTTAATAGAACGTCATTTCGGGAACGCGTTTTGAATTCGCGGGATAGAATCAGTCAGAGAGTTACATATCGGGAATAATCGATCAAAACTCTAGAGGTACACGGTTGTTAGTGTAAATCTTGTGCTACGAGGTACTGAACATTTATTTTATTTTTATTATTGTTACAAATAGAGAACGCGAACTTTCTTTGATTACTTTTGTACATAAGTAATTTATTAAATAAAAACCTAGTGTTACGTTGTAGTTAATTGTGTGTTTTATTTTCTTTTCATCTCATCACTCCCTGGTATCTCCGCTGTATAAAAGCTACCCGTATTGGCACTAGTGGTCTCTCAAACACTTTAAACGTTGGGGGTAGCGCCCGAGGAACCGAATAAACGCAACTCGGCATCCCTGAGCTTTCTCAAAAACGGGGGAGTCTCACATAGCGTCTCCCTGTCATACTCCTTGCCCAGTGGGAAACTCTGGGGTTGTTTTGTATGTATATCCTCCAACAATATCTATCCAAATTTAATTAACCAAAGTTTTCAACGACAAAATCACTCTAAAATCTATTAATATAATTAACGAAAGCTATAAAACACTTTTATTACTGCAAAGAATTATTATAGACAAACATGTACCTAACGAACTATAATTCATAAGTTTTCATCGCAGAAATCTCTCTAGAATCGATTAATTAAAACTCTATAAAATACTTTAATACACAAAATTATCCGATCTATTTGTTTTCCCAATCACTATTAACTTTTGTTCAAAATTACGACTTTCGAACTTTACCGTTTAAATAGGAATTAAGTTCTATTGGCCGAAAAAGTTCGAGAACAAGTTGTGGATATATTAGGTTGTTATGTTAGAAGTACGACCATTTTAAACTCCGGACCTCGGGCTATCGTAAAGATAAATTCAACGAAAATACGGCATTTTCACAACTATAATTAAATGAGTTTTCATTTATCAGAGCTGCAACGTTGTTTGTTTTAGTTTTACGATCGAAAATATTTGGATGAAAGAAAAATAATGAGTAATAAACAGTTTTATAGGAAATGTAATGGATTATTGACCACACTATAAATTATAGATATTTTTATTTTACCTGCTGATATTTGTTATATTTTATAATTTGATAATAATTTAAGATCTAGCCAAAATGATGTATTCCGGGTCCTTAGAGGTTTTTGTGTTACAACGGTGACTATGTTACGTTAACTCATTCAATTTAGATTTGCACTTGTGTGTACAGTTTAGCTCAAGGAAGCGGTTGTACCCTGAAGCAATAGGTAGTAAGTAGTGTTGGGAAAATTCGAATTAAATAATACGACTAATTCGATAGTTAATTAAAATTAACTAATTCGAATTATCTTTTTCGATATAATCGAGATACAAATTAGTATTTTATATTATATCTGTGGTAACCGAATTACAAATGAACATAAAATTAGGCATTCCAAACCATGTGATTTTAAAATGGCAGCTGGGGGCAAGGTCAATGAAGCCGATCAGCTGTTCTGTCATAATTCTATCGATTGAGGTTTTAGTTTTGTATTCAGTATTCAGTTTATATTTTTTTTAATAATACATACCTATTGGGTCATCAGTATGTGTAAAAAATAATAAAAATAAATAAAAAGTAACTTTCTTATTGTTTATTCGACAGTTGTACATTTCTGTTTTATTACGATATATAAATAAGCTAATTTTGTAATTTACACTCGTGAAAATAAGAATTACAATATAATGTTATAAATAAATAAATATTTGAGTAACAATCAATAATACACTGCAATTCCTAAATGCCATTTTAAAACAATATGTTATATTTTTAAGAGCATCATAGATGGATTGGACCATTCTATTTATAAGGTTTTATACCTTTTGTATAAATCATTATTGATTACTTTAAATGTTGTTGAGGCTGTAGCAAAAGACACTTTAAAACGATAAGCCAAATTTTTTAAACTTGCTTAGAGCTGTCGTTTGTGTAAACGGTATGTAATTTGCAATAAGGCGAAATTACTAATTTTAAATATAATTTAGAATATTAGAATATTAGTAATTAGTATAGTACTATTAGTAGTATTCTTTCGTTCTGAACGAACTGAAAATTTTCACTTAAACTGATTTATAAAGGGAATCGACAAAGAAAGGAACGATCCGATATAGAAAAATCCTGAAATCATTGTTATTTCCTATACCACGTAGGAATAAATCAGTTTAAGTGAAAATTTTCATTTCGTTCAGAACGAAAGAATACTACTATTATTTGGTTCATTTCCATCTCACCCAAACTTCACCTGCCGAACACTAAAATTAATTTTCTTCTTTTATCTAAATAATTATTGATTGCAACTGATAAAATAAAAAGAAATACGAACCGCACGTAAACAAGGACATACTTATATCGTTTTAGAAGAAGCTTTTATTTTAGATATGAGCTTTTCAATAGGAATTGAAACAATCATAAACTCGGCACTTTTAAATCTAAAACTTTAAATTATGGTTTAATTTATTAAACGGTTTCGGCATAGTTAATAGAATACATTGAATAAAGAATATTTTTTTTTATTTTATATTCAGTGATAGAATAGGTATGGCAATGGTTCAGATTTGTTTAAAATAGCCCCTAGACGAGCACTAGCTGGGACGAATTTATTTTTAGGTTAAATTTATAATACTACTAAATAATTCGATTGTGAAATATGAATTATTACTAATTATTCGATGGTGAAAATAATTCGATTATTCCCATCACTAGTAGTAAGTATACACAACCAGCAACATGCAATAATATCGCCTATTGACAACATACTGAAGATCAAATGTTGTCTCGTACTCTGAAGCAACGCAATATTGTCCGAAAACAATATTGCGCTGGTTCAGTGTGCGAGACAATATAATATTATTTTTATACAGTTCATACCAATTAAACTTTTAGTGATGTGATTAAACTTGATCGGCACAGCGTTGCCCACTTTTATATATTTTCTTTAAATCAAATTATTTTAGGAAACAAAAATAAATTAATTATAAATATATAAACAGTTATTAATTACATCAACAAAATTCACCTTCTTATAAGCACTTAAGGGACATAAAGGGCCATTACTCCCTCTTTCCCGTTCAAAATATTCTGTCTTGTACACAATTAATTTAAATCAAAGAATATACCTAGCTAGAAAAAGAATGGACTCTGCCATACTGAAAAATGGTCCTACAGAAGTGGCGCCATCTATTGAGTAGGGCTTGTTTTAAATGGATCGAAGCGCGATAAAATAATTAAATTTGATTATTAAATTTTATTTTTTACACAAATTCAACAATACTAATGACAAGTATCATTGTGTTGTGTAAAAAATAAGATTTAACAGTATAATTTATACAATTATTAAATAAAATTAAAGCCAAATATGTGTAAATATTATTTATTATTCAAAGTTTTTATTTATAAGTCAAATATTTAAACATCGTTTATTATAATAAAACAAGACCTACGTAATACGCCCACAGTTTTGTAAATGGAGTAAATATAAATAGGTACTTAAATGATGGCAAAAATAAAAGACTTACATTATATTTTTAGGGCCACAAACAAAAGGAATTGTCTAATTAAAACACATATAACAAATTATAGTTTGAAAAACGTTTTGATAATCATTTGATAATATTATGATTGGCGCTATGACAACGACAATATTTTTTGAGAATTTGACAATAGTATGACAATGGCCGTTGGAAACTATGGAAACTACAAAAAAATTCTGATTTCACGACATCTGGCAATAACTAGTAGCAACTTCTTAACCTAAAAATTAATTGCACTACCACCTAGCGCCTGAGGCTGGAACTATTTTATTTGAAATTTCCATGGAAACGGTGGAACCGCTTTTGCTATTTTACTTTCCCGCCCTGATTTAAATCAAAGAATCGTAATACAAAACTAAAGTGTCAAAACGAATGACAATGTCAGGAAATAAATAAATAAATGCGGCAACTTGGCATTCTTTAGAGCAGAGCTACCACTTGAATCCTCAGCGCGAAATTTAAATTCCAGTTAATCAGCACGGCGCTGAATAGGTCCATTGTTGGCAACAATGAATTTAAAAATCGCACAATAAATACATAAATAATTAATACATGAGAAGACGCATTTTGTTTGCCGTTAGATCCATAGATAAAAGAAAATAATCTACTATTAAGATAGATATGAAACTTAATAGTAAAATTTTGGGTCAAAGCGCCCCTCCGTGTTTTTAGTGGAGACTACGTTTAAATCAGCGCCTTCGCCTTTTCTGCTGTAAATGTTTTTTATGTTTATATTTGAATTCAAAGGATTTATTTTTAAAGTTACACTGATATATTAGTATATCAGAGTAACTTTAATAAAAACTATAAGAATATATATATTTTACAATTTATTTTTTTATTTATTTTACAGAGTTTCATGTAAATGATCGTAAGTCGACTGGCTGTCTAATGAATTGACCGAGATTTATAGATTTTAAAGCGAACGAAAAAAATCAAATAACGAATACATACCATATATTTTTCTTTTATCTAAGATACATACCTTATCGTCTTTTGGAAACACGTACATTTTTGCAGTTTTGTTAGTTTCTTTGCAAGATGCAACACAACAAGAAAACACCATTTTTACAGTTAATAAATAATAAAACTATTTCTGACTATGATATTTAAAATTTAGATAGATAGAAAATTAAAAAACAAACGAGTATTTGCAAACATGCAAACGCAGGCCCAAATTCAATAAAAATCAAAATTTTTCGCTTTTTTCACTGAAAAGGTATTTTTTGATTTATCAGCAGTCATTGTCAAGTTGGCAATATACAGGGTGTTTTCGAATTAGTCTAAAAAAATTATGGTGTGATTCCTCATGTGTTCTTAAAACAATTTTTATATAACCATTGGGTCTAAAGTACTTCCTTTCTGATCTACACGGTGTTAAAAATTAAAAAAAAATCGATTTTTTTGCTTAACATAAATGGTACACCACTGCTTTTTTAAAGAAAATATATTTTTTTCTTGACTGGCCATACTTTTTCAACAAAATTGAGCTTTTGAGTTTTTCTTGTTCATCAAACGGTTGTCGAGAAAAAAATAAATATACTTATTAAGAGCCCGCCTTAATTCGTTTTCTAACGATTTTTTATTTTTTAGATTAATTAGGAAACACCCTGTATATGCATATTACAGGCACCCATATAAACTCTTAGATTAAGAATAAAAATATAAACTAGTAACCTCTAAAAATTATTTTTCCTACCACTAGAGACATACCGTGCTTTTAGTGTGTACTAAATTATTTTATCAAAATTTCACCATATAAGTTTCCAGGCAATGGTTAGATGGACAAAAAATCTGTTTTCAAGTCTGTCAACAATCCTCGCCTCGGGGAGGTGTTTTTCCTACTTTTTCTTTAGGTTTTTCGCCAGTATTTCTAAACTAAACACAGCCACGCGAATTTTTTATAGCAGTTTAATAAGCACCAACGGAGATGTTTTGCTATAATTAGTTTGCGTGGGAACGAATCTCAAAATATTATTCAGTCCGGTTTTCTGATTATTATTTTTGCTTTCTAATGAAACTGGAAAGTCACTTGTTGTCAACAAAATTAAATAAAGAAAAAAATGTATTAAGTAATTTTAACACTACTCAATAGGGTTTCACTACTTGACTTGACTTACAAGTTGACAAGAGTTGAAATCAAGTCAAGTTCAAGTCAAGTAGTTACAATTTCAAGTACTTGAAAAGTCAAGCAATTGCTCACAACTCCTTGATTTTTGTCAAGCTACTTGATTACTTCACTTTGTGTTAAGTTTCATTTGATATTTTTAATCAACCACAAAACCCTGCAATTTTGGGGGGCTAGTTTCATCAGGTGAAGCTCTCGAGACCCTAAAATCTGGTCATTTGTTTTACTATAGTGGAGAACAACATCAGTCAATAGGAGGTGTAGGTTTTTTTATAAATAAAAGGCTAGCAGAAAGCCTGAAAATCATCCACTCAGTATCCACTAGAGTAATATACGCCATTTTTAAAATAAACACTAGATATAACCTAAAAGTAGTTCAAGTTTACGCTCCAACAACAGAACATACTGACGAGGAGATTCAGACTTTTTATGATGATTTATGTACAGCTATCTCAAATAACCATACACATTTCACTGTCGTATGCGGTGACTTTAATGCCAAATTGGGAACGAAATTAGATCCATCAGAAACTGCCTTAGGCAATTTTGGAAGCCCAGGACGAAACGATCGTGGTGACACTCTTTTAAATTTCCTATTAGAGAAAAACTTGTTTCAAATGAACAGTTTCTTCCAGAAGAAACCCCACCGCAGATGGACATGGAAAAGCCCAGATGGCAGAACGAAAAACGAAATCGATTACTTTATCACTGACAAAAGGTACATATTTAGAGATGTAACGGTCCTTAATAAATTTGCAAAATCAAGCGAGGTCCATCAAGCAGACCATCGAATGGTGAGAGCCACAATTATAGTAAACACCAATTACGAACGGCACAAAATGATAAGGAAAAAACAAAGTAAGACATGGACACACCCGAGAAGTATACAGGAATTCGGAAACCACATCACTCAAACCCTTCAACACATATCACCACCAAACGATTTTAATATCCTAAATGATATAATAGTAGAAGCAATAACGGAAGCCCAAAAGAAATGTTGCCCAACAAATCTGAAGGAGGAAAAGATCAGTTTGGAAACACAACGCAAAATGGAGCAAAGAAGGAAATTGAAAAGCGACGAACACGCCAGTCAAGGTGATTTGAATAAACTAAATAAGGAAATATCAAGAGAAATCAGAAAAGACATAAGAAAGCACAGAAACGAAAAAATAATTAAAACTATCGAGGATAATAAGAGCATGAAAATAATGAGACGCAAGCTCACTAATGGAAAAAAAGAAATCGTCAAACTCAAGGACAAAAATGGTAATATAACATCTAATAGAGAACATTTATTACAGATTGTGGAAACACTCTATGAAACACTATACACCAACCACTCTACTCTAGACTCGAGGAAGTACCTACAAGGAAAGGTTCAAAATCAGGGTTCTGAGGATGTTCCGGAAATCTCTGTAAGTGAAATTTACAATGCTCTAAAAAATATGAAGAACAATAAAGCTCCGGGGGATGATGGTGTCGTCACAGAAGCGATAAAGATGGGAGGAACAGTATTAATGACCAATATTCAACGGCTGTTCAATATCTGTCTGGAAAATCAAAATATCCCTACAAAGTGGAATAACTCAATAATTATCCTCTCACATAAAAAAGGAGACATAGCAGACCTGGAAAATTACATACCAATTAGCCTTCTTAACCATCTTTATAAACTATATACCCGAATTATAACAATTAGACTAGAGGCAAAATTGGACTTCTACCAACCTAAAGAGCAAGCTGGTTTCCGTTCCGAATTTGGTACCAACGATCATCTGCAGTGTTTAAAAACCTTAATAGAAAAAACCATCGAATACAATCGTCCCCTAGCACTGATATTTGTCGATTTTAAAAAAGCGTTCGATACGGTAGAATTACCGGCCATCCTAACAGCGCTACAAGAATGTAGAATCGACCTCGATATTGTAACATAATAAAAACATATATGACAATGCTACAACAACTGTAAATCTACATTCCACAACTAACCAGATAAAAATAAAAAGGGGAGTTAGGCAGGGCGATACCATGTCGCCAAAATTGTTTATTACTGTTCTTGAGCATGCATTCAAAATGCTGGCTTGGCAACAAAAAGGAATAGTTATCGATGGAGGGATACTCAACCATCTACGCTTTGCGGATGATATCGTTATAGTGTCAGATAGTCTGGGAGAGATCAAAGACATGCTTCAAGAACTTAACGATGCATTACACGAGATTGGACTAACAATAAATTTTAACAAGACTAAGATAATGTCTAATATGGTGCCCAGCGAACACATACAAATTCACAAAAACAGAATAGAATTAGTCCACAAATATGTATACTTGGGCCATGAGATCAAAATAAGCAGAGATAATCAAACCTGTGAACTGGCTAGACGAATTACCTTGGGATGGGCGGCTTACGGAAAAATGAGGGACATCTTTAGAGCAAATATCCCAATACACCTGAAAAGAAAGGCATATAACCAATGTATCCTCCCGGTTTTGACCTATGGCGCCGAGACACTCACTCTAACAAAATCAACCGCAGAAAAATTGAGAGTGACATAAAGGCGGATGGGGAGATCTATGATTGGCCTGACTTTGAGAGATCGAGTAAGAAATGAAGAGATACGCCGACGTACGGGAGTGGATGACATTATCCAGCGAATCACAAAACAAAAGTGGAGATGGGCTGGACACATTGCTAGAATGGCAGACGGGAGATGGACCAAAAGACTTATAGAGTGGAGACCAAGAGCCCACAAGCGTAGCCAAGGCAGACCTCCCACCCGATGGACCGACGACCTGAAACGAATAACAACTAACTGGATTGCAACAGCTAAAAACCGCGAGAACTGGGACGTTTGGGGGAGGCCTATGTTCAACTATGGACGTGAAAGGGGGCTGCGTGATGATGATGATGATGAGTTTCATCTCGTTGGAATTTGACTTTCGAAAAATCCGTTTGCCAAAAATAAGCTTTTTACGTCAAGCAGTTTAAGCAGAATCGTGGTTAAGAAATTACCCAACTTTTTGGAACACCCTGTATGATTTTTAAAAAAATTCAAGATATGTATAATATTGTAATATTTGAGGGGCGTTTTCACCCTCTTGGAATTTGAGATTCGAGAAACCCCTCGAACCTCTACACCCCACAGTCAATTCGTTTGCCAAAAATCAGCTTTAAACGTCAAGCAGTTTAAGCAAAATCGTGATTACTCAATGGTCATATTTTATGAAACACCCTGTATAAATTTATAAAAAATCTTAAAATATGTAAAACAACAAAATAAAATATACGTGTTTAAGAGTTTTTTCGAAAAACTCACCGGTTTTTAAATAAAAAATATTTTAATATTTGGGGATAGTTTCACCCCCCTTAGAATTCGAGTTTCGAAAAATCTGTCTGTTTCGGGTTAACTCCAGTTTTAAGATAGAGAAAAGTATGTCATATATTTAACTAAACCTTGCTTTATTTTTTTAGAATCTCTGTGACCTTTTGCAGGAATCTAATAAAGGCAGATCAGTTCCAGGAAATTACAAAAACCATTCGTCACTAGACAAAATTCATCGGGATACCCTTGTATCTATTATTTTTTATTTTGGAATACAATTATATTTACCTACTTATCACCAAAAGATTAATTCCGAAATAAAGTTATTTTACTAATAAATCTGATATTTATTTCATTTAAATTGTTAGTACTGCTCCTATTCAATTAAAATCGGTTAAAGCTTTAAACAAAGTGACATGTAAATCATTAAGCATTTCACTTCAAAATATAAAGAGAAAGGCTTGAAACAAAAGGCATGTATTTGAAAAACAAAAGGAAAGCACTAATAAACAAATATATATTTTTTTAAATCAAATTGGCAGCATTTTTATTTTAAATCTGATATACCCTTTGAATAAGAAGACTAAGGTAGGAGCATAATGCTATCCATGTGAGCGGAAAAAGCACTCTAGGGTGGGGATCCTTGACAGTTCTGTTTGACGATTCATTTGACACATTTGAATTTGATTTGAAATTTTGTGGATTTGTCAGTCTTTACGGAGCTTATTTTATGTTATTTATTATTTATTCTACTACTGATAGTTGTATAAAGGTAGTAAATCTAGATGGAAATTGTGGCAGAACTTAAATTAACACTGACACTATCGCGATTTATTGAAAAAGACTCTAAAATAGTTGGTTGTGTAGCGTGCGGTAGATCTCGGCAAAAATTGAGTGAAATAATGGAACAACTTTTCGCTAGTAAGTGACTATATAATATACATACGTGTAGTAAACCGATCATTTATGAAATTCACTTAAATTAACTAAATTATATATTTTTCTTGCATTTTAGCTTTTATTTACTACTTGTCAAAGATCAGATGTCAAAAAATTTTGATATGTTAATTTGACTTACGTGCTTCAGTAGCGTATCGGATGTTTGTGTTAATAAATACTTATTATAAGGAAAATAAATTTAAGTCGGCCATATTTGAGGCCCATCGCGGTGTACCTAAGATTTTTGATATGCTCCTTCCTTAGTCTTCTTATTCAAAGGATATACCATTAACAATGACAATGATCATGTATGTTTTATATGTACGAGTATATGCATAAAATTAATAGATATCTTATTAATTCAATTATGACCATTAATGAGGCCAAAATACGTTTGATTTTTGATTCATTAGCATTTTTTTTATTTTACAACGTTTTTTTCTCTCAGTGTAAGTAAGTAGAGGTTGTTGGTTACAGAGGAAGTTGAAATCGAAGTTAAAATCAAATAGTCGAAAGGTTCTCCAACTCTATTAAAAGTACGCTTATCCTAAAGGATTATAAAAAACTTTTTAAGTAAAATGTTACCCGTCATAAACTACTTAAACAAAAAAAAAAACGCCATTTTCTCTGAACTAGTTAAAACTCGGCCTAAGTGGTTCCTAGAACGAAACCCATCCGAAGGGATAAATTAATCGACTACCTCCCAAGGGAAACACTTTTTTTACGTGAAAGGTAAAAACTTTATACAAATTTTAGCAAGGAGAAAATACCGACGTGATCGTTGGTAGTAATTTAAGAAATGCCAAGAAAATCTTTGAAAGCGTAATTCGGCTTTGTGGCAACATAAAAAGTAATTCGGTTTAGTGCGGCTAGAAACGAAGTCAAGGGATTATTTCGATCAACGTAGCTTTGAAGCCTGTTTTTTTTTCTTTAAGAAAATGTTTGCACTAATGGAATTTGACTGTAATTAAATTTTAAGAGAATTTTTAGATTTTGAAGACTTTTTTAGTATTATGCCAGTAATAAATTCTAGATTTTTAAAATTTGTTTTCCTTTTATCTTTAGTTTATACAGCGTGCCAAAATGACTGACAATTTTTTGCGGTGTAAATTAACTACAGGCTCCTAGAACAATAAACTTGGGAATTTTGTAAATGCTAAAAAGGATGTATTCAGAAAAATATTTTAACTTCTATAGGATGTCTTAAGAAAGTGTGAGTGGATCGGAATATTTTTTTAGATAAAACACCCTGTATATTATTGCATTTTTGGCTTTGTTTCAGATCACTTTACATAATTCTGAGATATGGGTAAATATTTTTAGATAGTTTCAGATATATTAATAAATAAATAAAATATATTTTTCAGCCTTTTTAAAAAAATATTAAACATAGAAGAACGGCCCTGATATTAAAACTATACTAGGTATTTACTTTAGATTATTACTGTACTTACGTTGCTATTAAATAAAATTATATAAAGGATTCTTGCCACTTAACTGCTGATATAGAAATTTAATTAATAAAAAAATAAATTAATTAAAAAAATTAATTTATTTTAATAAAATAAATAAATTTCTATATCAGCAGTTAAGTGGCAAGAATCCTTTATATAATTCTATTATATACCTATACTGCAAGAAATTTGTTTTCTATTTTATAATTTCTGAAAAAAAACCGTTTATCATCCTTTTACTATCGATAGTTGCGCCTCGGTGGTACGAGAGTACTACCATTGCACGCAGGCCGCTATCTCCCGTTCGGGAGTTAATATCTAACCGACACTTTCCGACAAGTCGGAATTAACTATCTCTGCGCTGTGGTTGTCATTTTGTGGATCTGCCCAAGTTCACCTGATGATGGAGTAGGGCTCCGAAACCGGTAGTGAGAGCAGGTTGATCCACATTATGACAAACACAGCGTAGAATTAAATTTCTATATCAGCAGTTAAGTGGCAAGAATCCTTTATATAATTTTATTATATACCTATACTGCAAGAAATTTGTGTTCTATTTTATTGCTATTAAATATCAGAATCTTAAATCATACAGGATGTTCAAAATTCTACGCCACACTTTCTAAAATATAAAATAATTTCTCTTTCGTTTTTTTTAAATGGAACATCTTGTATATCATTTTTTTGATAGATGGAGATTAAAAAATGAACATTTTTTGTATTTAAAGTATTTCAAAATTTTTAGCGGTTTCGCAGATATTCGCGGTTTTATATTTTATATGGCATTCATGGTAGTTTGTGTGTGTTGCATAGTTATTAACATTAGTCATAGTGGCCACGGAATAATGGGACACCCTGTATAAGATAATATATTTTCTACGCGCAGATAAGGGCTTCAGTAAAAACTCTCCATTTGGTTCTGTTGATGATACATATATTCATTGTTCCTTATTGATGATATATTCTAAAAACAAAACATTAATACAAAACTAATCGACGGCTCTCTACTTGGTTCATGGCGAGTCGCTACTGCTCTGAACAATTATTTCTGTGACCAAAAAAAAAACACTATGACAGTATATTAACGGCAAAATAAAAACACTAAATCACCACAATACACCAAAACACTTTTACTTTTACACTGGACGCGCGTTTCGCTAACCATGTTAGCATCATCAGCAGATGATTATAAACTCAGTTTTTTCAATATCTGCTGATGATGCTAACATGGTTAGCGAAACGCGCGTCCAGTGTAAAAGTAAAAGTGTTTTGGTGTATTGTGGCGATTTAGTGTTTTTATTTTGCTGTGTAACACCAAAGGTTCCAACCCTCAACTGTAATAGTATATTAACGTAAAAATATTCTGTATATTTGTAATTTCTATTATTGATTAAACAATATATTTTATATGGCATTTTTATCAGGCAGCTAATGATTTTTCTCTCGTATTTTACCGTTGAAAGAGCCGAAAGAGATGATATAATAACGCGAGTATCTGCGAAACGGTTAAAAATGTTGAAATACTCTAAATACAAAAAAAAATCAATTTTTAATTCTCCATTTAATAAAAAAATAATCTAGAAGGCGTTCCATTAAAAAAACCAAGAAAAAAAGAGTTTGGCGTAGAATTTTGAACTTGTTGATGATTTAAGATTACGATATTTGTAGCCTCAAGTAGAGACCATGTAAAGTAAATACCTGATATAGTTTTGATTTCAGGACAGTTCTTGTATTTGTCATAAATTTTCTTAAGAAAAGCTGAAAAATATATTTACTCATATCTTCCGATATCTTCACTTTTTTTAGCCATCTTGTAGATGTTACCATATTTTGCTGAAGTACATCCTAGTATATACTTTAGGCTTGCACTTTAACAAAATTCCCGAGTTTTTTTGTTCTAGGAGCTACAAATATATACTCATTAAAAAAAGAAAAATCGTATCGACAACTGCGATAAATGTTGTGTAGGTAAATTACAAAATTCATTAAGGTAATAATTTGACAAACTCTCATCCATATCACGTATATTATTTAAAAAAAAACTTTATTACAAATGTGAACGTGTAAAAAATACAGCCTGCAGTTTTTTATACTTTTATATTACTAAAAATCAACACCCACATATCATATATTTTTTTTATTTCCCTTGAATAATTTGAAATTGT